ACTACTCTTCAGAAAACAGACGATCCCGGTGGCCCCTCCCAAGGACCAGACTCAGATTCTCACATTCTCATCACTGTTGAAATAAACTTTATTCATCTGATTATCTGTTCTCCTGGTGGTGTTCTGTATGTGGGTAAAGAAACTGGAACCCAACATGACATTTACAGTGTCTTACAGAAGGAATCTGACATCTTAATATGTTCCATTTTCTCAGCTCTAATCCACAAACCTCAGTGTGTTTCATTTGGGCCATCTTTATGCAACAGGAATCAATGCTAAAGTTGAAAATAGCTGTGACAGTGATCCAGATTCCACCTGAAATGGCAATGCCTCAATCTAGTGAACGATAAAAGGAGCAGCAAGAAGCCCAAAGAAATTTTTTTGGCTTGACAAAATGTCCTCCACTGCAAGGAAGGTCAGCTGCCTTGGCCTTTTGACCAAACATTTTACACATGCTAAAAGCCAAAGTTTAAAAGAAATGCAAAAGGAAAACATTCTGTACCATGGTTGGTCGACCGTCTTGTATCCAGGACCAGAAAGAAAAAATGGGGGAGAAAATTATCAGCAGCACAAAACAAAAACTTTAATTGCAAAGATACAATTTAAAGTCATACTGAACTTTGGAGTACAGAAAATGACACTAAAACTTCAAACACTGAACTTTTTACTATAACACCACAGTCAAACAAATTAAAATAAAGATTTTAACTGACTACAATATTAACATAGGACTAAATTGTTTCTCTTGGGGGAGGTGAGCCAACCTCACCCATCCAGCTAAGATCATCCCCTGGCCTTCCAACCCTAAACGAGTGCTGCCTCACCCCATGGTCCATGTAGATCTCTCCCAGCTTGATGTCTCTTGTTTTTATTAGGAGAAATGGGTCTGCCAGGCCTGGGAACTTCACTAACAGACATTTGGTGTTGAGATTTTTGGCAGAAAGGTTTATCGGTCAGCCAAACATGGCGAGCTGTGGATGACTGTCACACAGGTGGACCTGAGAGTTTATGCAGAAGTCCATGGTCCCCAGACTTTAAAAAGTAAATGTATGCATCTTGTCCCGCCTTCAGGGACCCCGCAAGCCGCCAGCCTCGGCAGCAATAGTGAATATTCCATGGTAGTCACATGCGATGGACCCCTTGATGAAAGTCCTGGTCGCAAAGACATGTGGAAGAAAAAAAATATTTATGAATTTATTATTTTTTATTAAAGACTTTTTTGGCTCTAGTGGCCTTTATTTGATAGTTAATTGGGTAATGAGAGAAGAGGGAAGATGTGCATCAAAGGTCGCCAAGGCCGGGAATCGAGCCTGCGACAGCCGCGTCAAGGACTAAGGCCTCCATATGTGGGTTGTGCTGAACCCCTGTGCCACCACAGCACACCCCAAATGTATTAATATTTTAATTACAGAAATGTCAGTTTCCAAAACAAGATCCAGGAACCGGCACTTGATATCCACCGACCTCTTCTGCTGACAGTCTTCCTGCTCTCTGAAATGACAAGTCCGGTTCACCTCTGGTCACCCTGAATGTTGCAAAGGTGTAGCAGAGATCAGATCAGTCAGAATGAACAAAACTCGTATAGAAGCAACATTTGAGTTTTAGTTTAATTTCTCAATAGGAAGCTTACTGAGAAAAACACGTTTGATGTGCATCACTAGCCATTTTTGGTCCTGCAGCTTGAATGTGGTTTAAAAACTCTTTAAACATTTTACGTTACATTTCACTGTAACTTTGCCGACTCCCCGCCTCCCCCCAAAAAAATTGGTCTTAAGAAATTATGGTTCCCCCCAGTAATGAGATGGGATCTATGCCTTTGTCAGGTTAATTGGTCTCCCCAAATTTTCCCTAGGTGTGTGTGTGTGTGTGTGCATGGTTGTTTGTCTCTATGCTGCACTGCGACAGACTGGTAGTTACCTCTAGTAATAATGCACTTGTTGAGATTTTAAATTTCATTTTCTGCTGGTTGGAACATTGTGTTGACGAGGAGGAATCAAATTACTGCTCCCTGAAAAGTGAAAGGAGAGTTTGCCTTTCTGATTAAATGCTATAACCACTTGCCATAGCCGCGCATCACTCCGTGCGCTTCTTCCGGGATAAGCTCCCCGTTTCCAAGGTGACTGCGCGCGTGCCGTCAAATGACAGAAACGAAACTTAAAAGAGCGCTTCCGGTGAAATACCGAACTCAGCTCAGTCAGGGAGAGCAGCTCGGTTCGGAGGTCCGGTCTGGACCATTCCGCCCCAGTTCAGCCTTTTTTTTTTTTTTTTAACCATTTTTACTGCTGGGAGCCGCTGTGAGTTCGGTTCCGGTCCGGACCGGCTGGTGCCGTCCACTTTTATTCAATCTGTAAGTATCATTTATTCTGGCTGTTATGGAAACGGGTTCTGGTTCTTTTAAAGGTTTCGAAGTTGTGACACCTGCTAACATTTACTGGGACGGGATAATGGGATGGTTCTGGCACTGAGACCTGATTGGTTCCAGATGTTTCCATGGTGACATTAAGCAGGTCCCTGTGGGCAGGTTTCATCACCTGTTGTCTTCACAGAGGTTCGGCTGGTAGTTCTGGTTATGTTCGGAGTTCCTGCTGGACTTCCGGCTCACCTGGTGAAACAGGTGCTGGGAGAACTCTGTCGGTTCTGGAGGGAGAAGAAGGTCCAGTTTAACTGCCTTCCTTCAGCAGGAAGTGAAGACAGGAGGGTCGTTATCAGCTTCATGACTTCCTTCTTCCTCCATCAAACTTCTCCTGTATCGCCAGTCGAAATGGGCGGGGCCTCCTCCCATAGTCCCAGCTGATTGGCTAGCTGGAACTGGCGGTCGCAGCACACCTGGTCTAATCGAACCTGCTGTTGTTGCGTGCAGGGCGTGAAAACAGGCTGGAAGCCTGCGAGATTATTATGGTCTGTCAACAGAGCAGCAGGAAAAGCAGAGCTGCTTTATTCTCGACCTGCTGTCAGATTTTACAGCTTCTGTTAAACTCAATACTAATAATAATGTCAATGCAATCTGCTGGGTTTGCTTTTTAATCTACTCGGAATAATTAATTAGCCAAACTAATGAGGATCAGTTAGAATTGAATTGAAATGTTTATTTATTTTTTTTTATTATTTTTTTTTTTTGTATTTGTGGTGAATTATTCTATAAAAATAAACCGAATTATAACATAAACAGACCAGCTGCTGACCTTCCTCACCGTTCAGACTGTCGGTCGCTGCAGTAACTGCCTGTATCACCGTTTCTATGCTGCTGTCTTTGTGCCACCAGGCTGAGCCAATAAAGAATCATCTGCATGTAGTGGCTCCCCACAGTGTAGCAGTACCTCAATGAGCTGCCAGCCAATCGCAGGCAGATCTCTGTTATCCAATCAGAACACTCCTAGGGTGAAAAAGAACCAATCACAACCAGAAAGAGGCAGAGAAGAACAGTCACGTTTTAGAAAAACATATTAAAAATATTTTAAGTTTGTAGCCTCAGAATATTCAGTTAAACACCCAATTATATTTCTTTATTCTTTCAGTTGCCATGTAAAAAATATGTCAGTGAGCAAATGGACTATAACCAGAATAAATATTTCATTTTTTAATTGATATTTCTGGTTATAGTCCCAGACGAAATATTAAGATTACTACTATTATTCATTTCTTAAATATGTGACTCTTTCCACAGATTTCTTCTCATTCAAGATTCAGGAAGTTTTTTTGTCTGTAATTCTGCAGAAATATAAAAATATTTTTACCATTTAGATCTGCTGTTCTTCAGAAACGGTGCTGAGGGAGAAGAGGCGACACAAAGACTGAACTTTAGTCCAGAGATACTGAGCAGCTGTTCCCTCAGCACCATACCTCCACCGCCGTCCAGCAGTGCATCCACAAACACGTCGTTTCTCACACTGAAAAATCTGATGATGTATTTGAACTTTTTAGTTTGGATTAAATTAACTAATTGTTACTAATGCACATTTTAGTTAACCTTATACATCCATCCATTTTCTTACACCTTGTCCCTTTAGTGGGTCAGGAGGAGCTGCTGCCTCTCCAGCTAGTGTTCCGGGTGAGAGGCGGGGGCACCTGGACAGGTCACCAGTCTGTCGCAGGGCAGCATAGAGACACACAACCATGCGCACGCACACACACACACACACACACACACACCTAGGGAGAATTTGGAGAGACCAATTAACCTGATGGTCGTGTCTTTGGACTGAAGCTAGAGTACCTGGAGGGAACCCACAGGCACAGGGAGAACAAGTAAACTCCATGCAGAAAGACCTGGGCCGGGAATTGAACCCAGAACTCTTCTTGCTGCATGGCAACAGCTCTACCAACTGTTAGGGTTAGGGGTTAGCCATCTAATTACCCTGTAATTACTTAATAACTTAATGTATGTTAACATAACTCAAAGCTTTATGGAAAACCGAATTTATTTTAATTGAAATATTTAATGCCTCTTGCTTTTAATTCTTCTACTCAGATTCTTACTGAAAGTTAAATTATAGACTAAAAATATTCCAGCTGAACAATTCAGGTGAAATGCAGAGAACATATTTAACATCAGCAGATATTATCTGTCATGATGAGGTGAACATATTCTCTGATAAACTGTCGCATTTTAATTTATTTCCCACAGTTCACGAACTTTGACCTCCTGGCGCTATCAGCGTCAGGAAGGTGTGGCGGTCAAACTCTGAAGAAAAGCAGAACACGATGAAGGGTAATTAGGAACAACAACCTGCAAAGCACCATGGGAACTCCCCTCTACCTCTTCCCCAGCTTGTTACAGTATAATATAAAAACCTTACAGAGAGATCAGACTGGGAAGACTGGGAGATGTGGGAAACTGGAACTGGGATTTACATCTAGAAAAGCCACTTTTAGAAAACACTAAATAATCAGTTTAGTTGGTTTACATGAAGAACTTTAAGTAAAATATAAGACGTGCTGGGAATCTGACCTCACATCAGGCTCAGGTAATTATTCATATTTGTAATCAATCATTTATTAATTAAGTTATTAATAAAAGTAAATATTCTGGATTTTGACCAGAGCAGATTTTCTGCAATAATGAGGAATAAATCCAGACAAACAGACGGAAAACTTTTTCACACAAGGAGCAATCATTGATGCTGATTTCTAATCAAAACTAAAAATCTGTTAAGAAAATTCACAACTAAATTATTCCATATTTAAACTCTGACATGTGATCAAGCTATTAATGAAAGACAAAAAAAATTTATATATTGAATGATGAAATGGGAATCAAATCAGATTAATGAACAAACTGACAAAATGAAACTACTGAAAATTATCACCAAAACTAATTTACCAAAAAAACAAAGGAAAAATCTGATTTGCAGAAGCATAAATGCAGCATGACGGTGCTGCAGAACTCCAGCCTTCGGCGAGGGAGGAGGAAGATCGGAGCAAAAGGTCAAGAGGTGAAATAAAGTCCAGACTCAGACTGGCAAACACCTTTCAACAACAAAAGCTAAACTCCACATGCTGTGCGCCAACTTAGGCTGGACACCGACGACGTGACGTCAGTCCTGAATGGCCACAAAGTAAATCTGAACGGGGAATCAAGACAAGATCAGCTGGGAGAGACGATGAATTCAGTTGTTCTGCAGCGAGACAATCCAACATGTGTCAGACCCCAAATGGCAGAACAGCAACAAAAATGGATCAGATTATTTAAAACACCTGATTCAGCCCAGATAATGGAGCTGTCTCACTTTGACTCAGTTGGGTCGAATCCTAAACTTGATGAAACAAAAGAAACTGGTTCTCTTCAGGTTAGCTTCAGTCCCAGCTGGATTTTTTCAGCAGAACCTGTCGGTACTTTGGGTTGTAAACCAAGTAAAGTTTCCTTCTCATTGAGGAACAGAGAGGCAGCCACTGCAGACGCATCACGATACTTTAACATCTCTTTGGAACGCAGAAACACAAATGGTCTCATAAGCCAATTGTCAGCAGAGACTAACAAACAAAAGTGTATATGAAAGTGATTTAGCAGGAAAAGGCTCAGCCGCCTGCCTCACTCAGGGCTGCAGCAGGAAGCTGCTTAGACTTACATGTCTCAGTTAAAGCTCAGCTTTTAGCACCTATGAATAGAGAACAAGGACATCAGTTGGAACGTTTGCTGATCGTAGGGAAAATATTGACACCCATCCCTGCAGGATATGCAGTGAATCACCTATAGATCCATCTCTGCCATTATGAGGTACATCACACCTTTCAGTTTCTTGGAATAAGAACTTGGTTGTCAGAAAGTTCTCAGAATCGGTTGACATGTTGATGTTTGCTCACACCTGAGCTGAATAAAGAGAGGATGTCTCTCACGCTGACATTGTCAAGAGCGTTTCTCCATCTGCAGATGTTCAGTAAAGTATTTTGTTCCTTGAAACTTTTTCTCTCAGCACCTTATTCCGGAGATCAACTGGAAGTTTTCTCCAACAGTTTCTTATTTTAACAGTTTATTAGTGTAGCACATTTCAGCAGCGAAGCAGATAAAGAGCTTTACACCAGCAAAACTTCATGCCAATTATGAAACAATCACCAAATCATGAACCAATTACACAAAGATGTTGACCAGTGTTCCAGTTATTAGTAATCAGAGGCATCTCTATCCGACTTTGGCCTCGATTAAAGGAACTCTGTGTTCAGCACCAGCATCCCTAAGCCCAGAGGTCAGGTCCTATGTTGACCCCTGACCTGATAGAGTTGGTCTGAACCAGAACCTGGAGCAGGATGCTGAAGTTCTGTCATCTCTGCTGCTTCTTGTTTCAGACTCGTCCTGAACTTGCTCCAGCGCTCTGAAGGCATCGCCATGTTGTCATCTCTGCAGTCGACCTATGACCTCGCCCTGGCCTGTGGTCGCTGCTGCGTCCAGGAGAACCAGATCACCTTCACACTGAGACCTGGCCAGCACCGGTGTGAGCAGCAGGTGTTGCTCTGCAGAGCCAAGGGGGGCGGTGCTTGGAGGCCCGTCTCCAAACGACCAGCGTTTCCAAACCCAAAGCGATACGAAGTGTGCTGGCACTTCAAGGAGGGCCATGGCTGCACCGTGCACAAGAACCGCTGCTCCTACGCCAGGAGTGATGAGGAAGCTGCAGTGTGGACGTTTGAAAAGCAACATGGGATAGACCATCAGCAACTCTGCAGCATGTTGGCTCAGTCCAAGGGCAACATTGAACAGAAACCCAGTGCAGGAGAAGCTCAACTAGATCTGCTGGCTGCTCTGGATCTGAAGGTCGCTTGTGATTTATGCTCCAACCAGGAAAATGAAGTCACGTACAGCATCCAGCCGGTCATCCACAAGTGCAGCAGGAGTCTCCTCCTAGTTAAAGGGAAGGCCTCCAGCCAGTGGAAGGTCGTCTCTGAGCGGCCCACAGGTGCACACATGGGTCCCGGAGTCGTTTATAAAGTATGTGATTACTTTGTCAAGGGTTCTGGGTGTCCCAAGCACACTCTGGGTCAGGGATGCACCTACGCCAAGAGCTCTGAGGAGGCCGCTGTGTGGAACCACCTCAGAGAGAAGAAGATCAGTAAAAGTGAGTTAATCAGACAAGTAGCCGAGTCGGACCCAGGTCCAGAAACTGCAGAACAGGCAGCTCAGAGCATTCTCCAGAACTTCTCTGGTAAGTTCATTGAGTTCTGCAAAGATTGTTTTCTGGAGCGGCCAACAAAACTGTCGCCAAAGCGGTGGAACGAGACGTGCTCTGCAGACGCAGCTCATCGCTGGGAGCCGGTGTTGGTGCACCACCTGTCCGACGGTGGCGCCAAGCACACCTTGAGTCAGGTGCGCCCCCCACCCCCCCACCGCCACTTCACCTTCTGCAGCCACGTCAGGCAGGGTAAGCCCTGCTGGCACCCTGCTGGCCACTGCCAGAAGGCCCAGAGCGAGGTGGAGATGGCCGTGTGGACGGTGGAGCGCAGCGGCCTCTCTGTCCGGCCTCAGCTCCTCCAGCTGAGCCGGCAGCGCCACCCACAGGCTGAGCAGGTCTCCGTCTTCTGCAAGGTGTGCCTCTTGCTGCTGTCATCCCCAGAGAGCTTCTACAAGCACTGCTGCAGCCTGGAACACGCCCAGCTGCTGGCGCAGGACACCACCACCAGGTGGAGACAACGGCAGCCTCCACACAGCCGCCGGGCAGAGCTGTGGCTCTGTGACAGGTAAACAACTCATCTTTAGCAGAACCGACACCGGATCAAGACAAGGTTCTCCAGAGCAGGTCCCGCATCCAGGCCACTCTGATCTGATTTCATCTGGAATAACTCGGCACCAGTCGACATCAAGAGACGAGCCGCACGGTTTTCTACTCAGTCTAACCATTTCTATGTTGATAAATTGACTCATTTGGCAGAAACCCAACAGTACGTCTCTAAATCAGATCAGAGTCCAATAGTCCAGATAGTCCAGATGCTGGAAGTAAATCAGTTTTCTGTCCAGTTCTTTAGGAGGGAACTGGGTAAATATCAGCATCTGATTTTATGGGAGAGTTCGCCTGACAAGGATTCAATCAGAACTAACTGCCAAGTGTCAATGAACAATTCATCTTACATCAAAACAAAGATTCTAATGCAGTACTAACACAAGGTTTGCATTGTAGACCAAAAACCTGCGAATATGGGTCCAAATGCCCTAAAGCTCATTGTGAGGAGGAGCTGCAGGAGTGGATAATGAGATCTGCAGAGGAAGAGGAGATCAGATGCAGCATTGAGACTCAGGGCCTGATGTGCTACAACCAGCAGCTTCTGGACGATTACAGGAACAGCAGCAATGAAGTCTACGTGGTGAGTATGAACCTCGTTGTAAATGAGTTCAGTTAGCGCAGAGAGGGGATGATTGACCCGACTGTCTCAGTTCAGTGAAAGGAGAGAAGATTTCCTCCTGTGATGTTTTCAGATGTCAGAGACACAAAACCAGCAGATCCTGTTTTCCTCCTGTCGTCTCTCTGGGATGGGTTGGGTTTGGCTGCAACATCTAGCAATCTGACAGGTTTAACTTCTGATTCCCAACAGCTGTCTGAACAGGTCGATGATGTCAGCGTCTCCTGTGATGAAGATTTAACAGTGGAGAGAGAAAACATCTCTGCAGACCTCAGATGGACCTTCACGGTGGAGACAGAGGTAAACAAACATACATCAGTTTTGCAGGATAAACACTGTTCATATATGGAAACATTGAACCAAGAAAACCCAGTGATTCAGACAGGCTTCGTTCATTTGTATAGAAGGAAATGTAAACGTTTCAGTTGGACTGAGTATCCAGAAACAAAGCCAGACCAGAGGCTGAATGATCTACAGCAATACGTACGATTGTGCAGCCAATATTTTCACAAACAGGTCCTGGTGGGAGGCGGCAGTGTCCCAGCTCATTGCATCATTCAGCCACCAGGTTGCCCAGTAATAACTGCAGGGCAAACTGATAGGAGGTGTGAGGGGAGAGAGAGTGGCGCAGATAAAAAATAAATCTAACACTAAAGAATAACCAGTACAAAGGAACCTGGTAAATGTTGAACAGCAAAGAATAAATATAAACAAGAAATAAACATAACTAGAAACACTAAGATGAATTCAACTAGAGGAAGACAGGAAGAAGAGAC